AATTCAAATATAGATTTTCAAATCAAATCAAATTCAAATTGAAAGATCAAATATTTGATTTGATTTAAAAATATTTACTATATATTTCTAAAAATAAGCTACCTTTTTTTGGACGATTTTAAAGCCAAAAAATTAAGGGTAGCTTATTTTCGGGTTATACAGGTTTTTAAAGATTTATTCCTGATAGCAGAAATAGTTTATTATTAGGTATTATTTTTAAAAAAAATTCTCACGCATATAAACTTGCATATTGAGATTCAAACTGGTTTTGTACACATATATTACGTATATTGTGAAAAGGTAAATCGATACTTGTAATAGAATTTCTATATTTGGAGGGTTGGATACATATTAGATTTAACAAATCAGATAAATATTGGCTTATTTTGTATATTGAGGTAGCTCAGATCAAATCTAGCCAAAAGTAGTTAGTATGAAGGAAGTTTAATTTATTAAAAAACATTGTACGCATATGATATAAGTTGAAAATGAGTCTGGTGAGATGTGCTGGAAGTTAATTTAATTTAAAGAATGTATATATCAGTTGTGATTGATGTACAAATAAATTGAAACTCAAAAAATAGCAATCAAGACTGCACCAGGTATTGTTTATTACTACAAATATTTTGTATGAAAAAACTAGACAAAGTCAGGTTAACAGAAAAAACAAAAACTATCTTGTCTGGTAGTTTCTCGCTTGCATAATGCAGGCTAGCCGACAAATGAAATAAGCAGTTACCACGAAAATAGCAGGATTTGAACCATTCTCATTCAATATACTGGTTAGATTTCTTTTCTTATTCTTAACGTTACTTTCTCTTTTTTTTTCAGATTTCTCTTGCCAAATTGGATAATACTGTGTTGTATCATAAGCCATATTACTGTGGATGGGTGGGACAAAGTAGCGAATAGAATGTTATGACAATTTAGTTAAAAGTTAACCATGTATAAGGTTGTGTTGTTATACTTAGCTATAATGCTGTGATTTTCTTATAATTTCTTTATAATTATTAGATCCAGAAGCTGATAAAAACTGTATCTAAACTTCCATGATGTTGGTCTTTGTTATGCTACAAATACCTTTAATTACCAGATCTGGAAGTTGATAGAAAGTAATGCCTATACTTATTTCTCATGATGCTATTTCTGTGCTGCCTGGTACTGTGTTGGCCAGTATTCTTAGCTGTTACTCCTGTATCTGATAAGCATTGTATCTTTGCTTAGTCATCTTTCGATCGTTGACTGTCTATCAACTCGAACGAATTTATTGAATTTATTGCATTTATTGAATTTATTGTATTTAGTTGATTTATCGTATTTAGTGCAATTAGTCAATTTAGTGAATACATTTATTGTATATCTACTAAGTAGTACAAAAATATAAAAGCACTATCTTTTGCATGCAATAAAAATAGCTCAAGAGAGTTCAAAGTTCCAAGTTAAAGAAATAAGAGTATTTAACTTGTGATTAGTAAGTTCTTTAAGTAGAAATGTTTGTTCTACTAACTCCCCGATAAGTAAAATCCATAGTTATAATTAGAACAGTGACCAAATCTTGTGATTCTGTATAAAGAAATTAGTGACGTAATTAAGAGCTCTAATCTGTTGCTATTGCTAAGAACCCAAGTCACTCTAGTTACTCAGACCAAGTCTTTCTATGCCTCGATCGTTGCCTTACTAATATTAGAGCTTGGTTGTATTAGTTTTAGTACTCTGGATAGAGTAGTTTAGTTAGTTTGTATTAATGTTGAAGTGTATCCTTGTATTGAAAAATAAATTTGTCTTTCACAGTATACTATATGCTATATACATACCCTTTTTAACTTTAAACGTTTTTTCTTTAAAAAAATTTTTTTAACACTTTTTTTTATTTATTTTTTTTTTTAAATTTTTGCTTTTTTTATTTTTTTTAAATTATCGCTTTTATTGTTTTTTTTTGTATTTTTTGGTTTTATTTTTTCAGATTTCTTTTTTAGCATTTCTCTTTAGTTTAAATTGGCGTATAATTTATTTTTTTAATTTATTATTTTAATTGGTGATTCGCCAGTCAGCCAGTGAGAGGTAATAGTGTAACGTGTCGCAGTTTACTTATAGAAATTAGAGTTTTGTGAATGTGGGCTGCATCATTCTAAAACTTTTTTTGTACTAAGTTAACCACCTTTGGGCTTTTAATTGAAGTTGTAGAGCTCGTTGAGAGGAATCTAATGGTGGTTGAATAGTCAAAATCGGCCTTGTGGATTACGA